GAACATTCTGGGCCCGTTGATGGCTATGCATTAAGAAAATTCAAAAAATTCACAACTTAAGTTTTTACAACAAATGGATTATATAAGTTCGTATAGTTCAAGCAGTGAAGAATTTGCAAGAACAAAATTCAAAGATCAATAAATTCATATGCGATCAACAAAATGCATATATAAAGAAAATTATAACTACTTAACTATTCCATTGGTAGCGGTGCTAGTTTATGGATTGGGCGCTTAATGATACCATTGCGCGTTTGAACTTGGCAACACGGACTGTTCGGGGCGGGGTGAAATGGGGGCCGGGAATTCCTCTTGAATTCCGCGGCAAACGAGGGTCGAGGAGGTGCCGAATCCCTAAGGTCCTTCGAGGTTGAACTAAACCGCGAAAAATTCGCTCAAAATGAAATTAAACACTTCACACTTTTCACAATTATATGTATATATATATGATATAACGGCCACTTTATTATATATATATGTGTATATAAAAAAAATGCTGTAATAAAAATTTATAAAAATAGATTGATGATGAGAGGACCTTACTTGTTGATTGCTCCGAGTTCTCTTCCAAAGTGGCAGTGTTGGGTGATCGCAGAAGGCGAAACCCAACATCCGAGGCGAGTAACAGGACTCGAGAAAAAGGAACTCGAGTAATGAGTAACTGTTCCCGCTCAGATGACAGCGACATCTACAAGTAAATTCTCTAATCAATAAATATACTTAAGGTGAAGGGGCTAGCGTAAACATGCCGCCCGCCTTGCAGTGTCGCTGCAATAAACTTAACTAAATTATTTACAATTAATATTTTCTATTTCATTTTCATTAACAATTCATAAATTCATTGACAATTCATTTTTGATTTTCAGGCCAATTGCTTCTAGTAGTCCACTAATATATAGTGCCTCCCGAGATCATCCACCCGAACATTGTGTTCTGTGCCGTTGGTCGAGTGGGGATGGCTGGCATGAGTCCCGGACGCAGGATCATTGCGTATATTTCGGCTCCTAGGACTAGTGATACGGCGCTAGATTTGTAGAAGCCCGGGTCGGCCAGCCGAAAATTGTCGAACTCGTTGGTGATCCTGGCGTCCAGCGGGCGAGCGCGGGTTACCCGAGAGAGGCCTGGTTGTACGTCGGCGTAGACATCCAGTCTCTTGTGCCATCCTCGAAGCGTGAGTCTGCATATGTCTGCATAGCCACCTGGCCAAACTCGAAGTTGACGGGCCAGTGTGAGGACAGAGAGCCCAGGAGCGCTGCGGGCCGTGCCCGTAATCCGCTCTCGGGCGTCTCTCACACCACGGCGGTGGGGTTGTTGCCAGGATCGCCGTGGGCGTCGGTGTGCCTCTCCGCGCTTTGACCTCGTTACTGGGGCTCGCTGTATAGCCGACCGGACATCCGACAGAGGAGGTCTGAATGCCGGCGGCGCGTTGGGGGCGGAAACTTCATCCGCTGCGGGTTGGAGGTCGTCCTCGTCGGCCAATGGCAGGAGGTTGTACGGTCGGGATGGCCGTCGGTGACGGATCTCTGGCTCGTCCAATCCCTGTAGCACGTCTTCCGCATCTCGGGGTACCTCTCCCAGGTGGAGAAGGCTATGGTGCCGGTCTCGGCAATGCTCGAATTTTCGGGGAGATGCGCAATTTGTTCGCAGTGTGATGCGGCGACAGGCAGTTGGCGCAGTGGTCGTGCACGAGGACAGCACGCAGTCTCTCGGCCGGTTCCATCCTGCGCATCTCGCGACAAAAAGCCAGGCGGTGGTTGCTGCGGCACACTGGGCAGCTGTATTGGCCCTTGTGGGTTTGGGTGTTGCTTTTGGTTGCACGTACCATTTTGCGTTATTGAGTTCTCTAAAGAGAGATACGATTATTATTTTGTTTTGTCAATATGGCAAAAGTACCAATTTTACAGTTGGTCGAGTTATGATTCCGCATGCCGTTCGTATTTCTACGACTCGTACTCGGCTGTCCTGACCTGAAAAGATCCTAACTACTCTGCCAAGTCGCCATTCATTTGGTTGGAGGTTATCCTGTTTGACGACGACTAGACCGTCAACTTCGAGGTTTCGCTGGGGGGAGTGCCATTTCACTCTCTTCTGCAACTCCTTCAGGTATTCTGCTTTCCACCTTCTGCAGAATGTTTGGTAAATCGCTTTGATCTTTTGCCACCGGTTGACAATAGACATCGGATTCTCCTTAATTTCGGGTTCAGCAATTGCCAGTAGCGCGGTGGCAATTAAGAAGTGTCCTGGGGTTAGAGGCTCCATTAATTCCGCGTCTTCAGAGATGGGGCTGATTGGTCGTGAATTAAGACAAGATTCGACTCTTGCCAGAAGCGTGGAGAGCTCCTCAATGGTAAAGCGCATGTTGTTTGCTACCTTCCGGAAATGCATCTTGAAGCTTTTTACCCCCGCTTTCCAGAGCCCTCCCAAACGAGGTGCTCCTGGAGGTATAAAATGCTGCGTAATGCCCTGATGAGCGTATGTCTGGGTTGTGCTGTTGGCCGCTGCAGAGACAAAGAGTTTTAGATCCTTTCGCAATGCCTTATTTGCCCCTACAAAGTTGGTTCCATTGTCCGAATGCACATTTTGCGGGCAGCCGCGTCTAGACACGAAACGCGCAAAAGCTACTAAAAATGTGGCGGTGGACAAATCGCTGGTGGCCTCCAAGTGTATTGCTTTTGTCGCAAAACAGACAAAAACGCAGACATAGCCCTTGGTAATGCGACACGCTCGACCCGTGAAACTCCGTATTTCGAAAGGACCGGTGAAGTCGACTCCAGTGTTGGTGAAGGGTCTGGATACCTCAGTTCGTTCCGGTGGTAACGCTGCCATCAACTGCTCCCGCGCCTTCTTTCTGTAAATAACACAAACCTTACAGTTATGGATTGACTTTTTAATCATGTGAATTTTACGAGCAATCTTGAATACTGGCACGCCTCGGCTGCCAAGATCCGCTGGATTATCCGCAGAGTCCATATGATTCCACCCTGATACTCCAGCCAGGTCATCAATTTTTGCGACTCTATTAGCTACAAACGTTGTCCAGGTACATGCCGGTTTCCTAAGCCATGAGAGTACGATCGTGGAGTCGGTCCATTTGTATATTACTGGCTGCGTGACTTCAAACTGCGGAATAAAAGTATTAATTAGTTCGGCAAGTAATAATGCTCCGCAGAGCTCTAATCGGGGTAGAGACACCGTTTTTACTGGTGCTACTTTTGTTTTACCCACCAGCAAGTTTATGTGGGGCGCATTGTTTGATGTGCGATCGCGTACCCTAATATATAGTGCGGCTGCATATGCCTTTTCAGAGGCATCGCAGAATCCATGGAACTCTACTTCGTCCCATGGCGTAAAATGGGTCCATCGGGAGATTTTTATCTTCTGAATATGCTCATAGTTATCCAGAAAGGTATCCCAACGTAGCAGTAAATTTTGGGGTAGACTGTCATCCCAGTCTATTTTGGTTAGCCAGATCTCCTGCATGAAGATCTTTGCTACCACTACAATTGGTCCGAGCCATCCAGCCGGGTCAAACAATTTTGCTACACAGGATAAAACCTCTCGTTTGGTATACTCCTTCTTCCGGGGGATCGGCTGTACGGTGAAGTGAAACATGTCATGTACCGCGTTCCAACGGATTCCCAACATTTTTGTCTCACTCATGTCGTCAAGCTCCAAGAAATTCTCCTTGTATATATGTGCCTTGGGTAGTCCTGTCAAAATCTTCTTACAATTCCAAGTCCACTTTCTTAGGGGGAAGATGGCGGTGTTAAGAGCTTCAATTACCTCATCTCGCATTTGTATTGCAGTTTTGCAATCGTGGGCTCCAGCCAGGACGTCATCGACATACATATACTGCTTCAAAATCTTTGCTGCCAGTGGACATCTCGTTTTCACATCATCTGCGAGCTGTGCCAAATATGGAGCACAGTTTACTCCAAACGTCATGGTCTTAAGTTCGTGCGCGACTTTTCGCACATTTGCCGATACCGTGGGAGGGAGGGGGAGGGGTTCGCTGTTGCGAAGAGTTGACCTTCTGTGGAGCTGAAGTTCGATGTAGTAGTGAATGGTGCCTCTGATGAGAGCTCCAACAATTAAACGGACTCTTGCAATCCTTCGCGATGTGTGAATGCGCTAGGCAGTTCATACACAAGTTGTGTTTTCTGACTAAGTTGGGGCGATCCTCAACTTTCATTGCCAGAAATTTGCCTTTAGTGCATGAGATTGTTCGGGGCATAATCTGCATGCGGGCTGCGAAAACTGACCGTGGTGTGCCGACACCTTCTTTCGTACGTCGTTGCGGGTTGGCGATTAGGTACAGGCTTTACTGCTCGTGCACTTCGGATATCGGACACTGTTTCTAACGTCTGGAACCGACTTGTGAGAAAGCTGTCTAATTCCTTCCACTTTGGAATTTCCGCCTTTTTCACAATGCCTTGTTCCCACAACGCCAGCGTGGTATCCGGTAATCGACTCGATACTAAGAACACAAAAATCGCATCCCAGTTCTCAATACCAATCCCGTACATTTCTAAAACGGATATACAATTATTTACTGCCCGTTGTAAATTTTTAATTTCCGTACCGCGTTCGAACGTTACCGATGGTAGGTTAAAAAGCGTTTTTAATTGGCTATTTACCATTATCCTCTTATTTGCATAGCGGTCGGATAAATTTTGCCAAGCAGTCGCGAAACCGTCGTTAGGTAAAGGCGATTTTTTCACGATATCTTTCGCCTCACCACGGGTCTTTTGATTCAAGTGGTACAATTTCTCTACCGGGGTCAAACGCGAATTGTTAATGTAAATTGAGGTAAAGAAATCGCGGAAAGATGGCCAAGACATGTAATCACCGTAAAAAATTTCTGTGTCACATGGAGGTAAGTGGATACTCGAGCGGGCTGGGGGTTCAATCTCGCGTATTACCGGATTGACTGTCGAACTACTTTGCTGCGTGAATGTCAGGTTATGAGCCGTCTCTCCCATCAATGCACCGCACGTCAATTATGCTGAGTAGCAATCCTGGTATCTGCACTTCGCCAGTCGAAGTGCAGCCTGACCTGTTTCGTCGTCCGGCACCTTTTTCGAGTAGTCATCGAACGCATCCTTCACCTTTACCCAGAGCGCCTTCAGTTCCTCCTTTTGGATCTCCAGCGAAAATATGGAATGGCTGCTACACGGCATGTTGTTGAAGCCCGCTTCGAATTCCAACAATGCATCACACGCCCGCGAAAAATCATTAACATTGACCATCTTTGGAAAATTAATTTAATTAAAACGAAAAATTTAAAAACAAACGTCAATTGTACCACTGAACCTCGGGGTAAATTACTATTTTCGCGTATTATCGACAGCAACGTCAAAAAATTGATAAAACAACGTTTTATCAATTAATTTAGTTAAAGCGAGAAAAATTTAAACAAACGTAAATTGTACCACTGAACCTCGGGGGAATTACTATTTTCGCGAATTATCGACAACGACGTCAAAAAATTGATAAAACAACGTACAATCAATTAATTTAATTAAAGCGAGAAATTTAAACGAACTTAAATTGTACCACTGAACCTCGGGGGAATTTACAATTTATACGAATTATAAACAACGACGACAAAAAAGATAGCGCAATAAAAAGTCGTGGAAAAAGTGTATAGAAAAATTACTTTCTTTAATATATTTAACCTTCAGTTAATATATATACAAACTATATTCAATTTTAATTTTATTTATTATGTTAAACAAAACCCTTATTATGGCTCGCGAAATTCCACGGGTTATTTGTACTAAGCTTATATCAAAAGAGTTTTCTCTCAGTGTAACGCACAACCTGAGGGATTCTTATGTGAAAAAAATCGATGTTATGTGGTCCGTTTACGGGCCTTCTGCCTCAACCACTTTTGCTTAATATTTTAAAAATTCACGTCAAACACTTTACAGGTGGCGCGGTATAAAACGTACAACTGACAACGTAGTAAAACTCAGAGAAAATCTATAAAAAAAATCTTTATTTAATTTATGCAATAACAAAGAAACTACAAAATTCAATAATTGAGGTTGGCGAAACTTCGAAGACTTAATTTGATTTTTCTCAAAAACACCTTTTTTTAACGGACGCTGAGTCCCGCAATCCGTGGCACAATTTCACTTTCTTCTTTCTTTTTCTCTTTTTTTATTTTGTTATTTTTAAATATATATACACCACGGTGTGTGGATACGGTATTTCAAGGGAATTTCCGCTATTCCTCCACCACTTTACCGCTCGAATACGCGAAAAGGAACGGATTATCCTACACCGATACCGTTTAAATTTCGGAAATATATACACGTATTAAAAAAAAATATATATATATATGGAAGGGGTGAATATGGTACTCACGCACGGCCTTATGCAATTTCCTCACCCCTTCGCGAATATACTTGCCAAATTGAAAGGCTTACTTTATCTTGCAGCTTACTCTGTTGGCCACTAATGGGGCTGTTCTCCCGCGGTGGACCACTTGTTGAGGGCCTTGTTGTTGCGAACTTGCTATCGCGGTGGACCACTTGGTGGGGGCCTTGCTGGTGCGAACTTGCTATAGCGGCGGACCACTTGGTGGGGGCCTTGCTGGTGCGAACTTGCTATTGCGGTGGACCACTTGGGGGCCTTGCTGTTGCGAACTTGCTATCGCGGTGGACCACTTGGTGGGGGCCTTGCTGGTGCGAACTTGCTATCGCGGTGGACCACTTGGGGGCCTTGCTGTTGCGAACTTGCTATCGCGGTGGACCACTTGGTGGGGGCCTTGCTGCTGCGAACTTGCTATCGCGGTGGACCACTTGGTGGGGGCCTTGCTGCTGCGAACTTGATATCGCGGTGGACCACTTGGTGGGGGACTTGTTGTATTTGTAGTTGCAGTTGCTGCTGCTGGAGCGCTGGAAAATTTTTGGTTGCAGTTGCTGCTGCTGGAGCGCTCGCAAATTTATGGTTGGAGTTGCTGCTGCTTTGGCTTTTGCAACTGCCTCAACACTTGTTAGCTGCTTCGTTTCTACAAATAAATCCAATTAATATTACAAATCTACTTACTATTTCAGATACTTAGTATGCAGCCGCTCGTTTACAATTTGTTTTGCCGGTGGTACTCCAGTCGATGGGGCCACTTGATGCCCTTTGCTCCACTCCAGCTCCGAATGGTTGGAAAACCACTCCAACGCAATTGATTTCCACTTACCGGGGTTTTGTAAGGTTTTTCTTACACGAAAACCAAAAAAAATCGCGTGTTGTCAACGTGAGTTGCAAATTAGTTCTTTTTTTTTGGTTATTTTTATTTTTATTTTTCTTTGGGTGCGTTCGGAAACGTCAAATTGGTCGTCTTCACCAAAGAATGTAAGAAAAAACAAAAGACGGTGGCGGGTTTCACCAATGAATGCAATATCAAAAACTTTAAGATGTGTTTAATTGCACACGATTCACCGTGGACAAGAAAATAAAAAACGTGTTAACGGGGGTCGCGATAAAAATTCTCCTTTATGAAGGCAACTTGGCAGTTTATCAAAAAATGTTTATATTTGAAAATTGTTGGAATTCTTCACTTTTATTTTATTTTTAAACAAATGTGGATCAACCACGAAAAACTTCAAGCCTATCCGGCTCGAAGGACGATCTTCGGGGCGGGGTGAAATGGGGGCCGGAAATGGGGGCTTGAATTCCGCGGCAAAAGAGGGTCGAGGAGGTGCCGAATCCCTAAAGTCCTTCGAGGTTGAATTAAACCGCAAAAAATTCGCTCAAAATGAAATTAAACACTTCACACTTTTCACAATTATATGCAAATATATATGAGTGCCTAACGGCCACTTTATTATATATATATGTGTATATAAAAAATGCTGTAATAAAAATTTATAAAAGTAGATTGATGATGAGAGGACCTTACTTGTTGATTGCTCCGAGTTCTCTTCAAAACTGGCAGAGTGTTGGGTGATCGCAGAAGGCGAAACCCAACATCCGAGGCGAGTAACAGGACTCGAGAAAAATGAACTCGAGTAACGAGTAACTGTTCCCGCTTAGATCACAGCGACATCTACAAGTGAAATTCTCTAATCAATAAATATACTTAAGGTGAAGGGGGCTAGCGTAAACACGGACCATGCAATCGCTTCCAGCAATGACATCTGTAACTTTGCCCATAAGCCATCTCTGAGGGGGCATATTGTCTTCGTGGATTAAGACCACGGTACCAACCTGTAAGTTGCATTCTTGACCCAATTGGCCCTGGCCTGAAGCTCGAGCAGGTAATCTCTGCGTTATGCAGATCAAAATTGCCCTTTCAGGTACGCGATACGCTGCCATCTCTTGGAATATGTTAGCTCTTCTGCATCTATGGTAGGCTCGGGAACAGTTTTGAGTGAAGATCTGATTAGTAGATGTGCGGGTGTTAGCGCCTCTCCATCGCTGGGATCTGCGGACATTGGTGCGATTGCCCTTGAATTTAGAACGGCCTCGACCTCGACTAAGACGGTTGAGAGTTCTTCGTAGGTCAGATTGGCGTTTGTGACGGTACGATAAAAAAGGTTTTTTGTTGATTTTACGGCCGCCTCCCAAAGGCCGCCGAAATGAGGGGCGCGAGGCGGAATGAACTCGAACGTTACTCCTATCTCTACCACGAAATCCATTATTTGTCGCCTGTTGACTTCGTTGAAAAATACGTCTCTCAGTTCCTTCAGCTTGGCGTCCGCTCCGACGAAGTTTGTCGCGTTGTCGCAGACGACCTTTTGCGGCAACCCTCTCCTTCCGATAAATCTTTTGAAACAAGAAAGAAATGATTTAGTAGTTAAATCAGAAACGGCTTCAATATGAACAGCCTTAGACGAAAACCAAGCAAATACCGCTACATATGTTTTCTAAGGCTGTTGACCACGAATTTTATATGAAGTATAGATTGGACCGCAAAAGTCAACACCGGCTACTAAGAACGGTCATACTTACAACAAACGATCCCTCGGTAAATTTCCCATGATTTGCGTTAACAGTCTAGGTTTGTATCTGAAACAGAACGTGCAACTGTGTACTACTTTTCTCGCGATTTCTCTGGCATTTACTGACCAAATTTTTAGTCGCATTAGGGCAATAAGTGCTCTTGGACCTGCATGGCAATTCGTTAGATGCAAGTGGGTAGCGTATAGTTGTACAAATTGATACTTCGGCATCAGTTATGGATGTTTAGTGTCGTGTTACAGCGAGGAGTTTTGGAGTCGGCCACCTACTCGCAACAAGGTGAACTTTCGATTTTTTTCTTGGCGATATTCTATGAACGGGTTAAGTTTTTGTATCTGCTTGTTCACCAAAGACGAATTCTTTGGGCATTTAATTTCATCTCCAAATTCTTCATGCTGTGTCAGTTCGACAATTTTTAAAAATGACATATGAAGTTCTTTGGCGGTACTTTGAGGCTATTTTGTAATTGGGATGAGAAGTCTATAAACGTAGGCGAGTACTCTTACGATTTTCAGATACGTGGAGCAGTTTTCTACCAGACCGTGAATTATATTGGACTGCTTAGATGCGGAAAGTACTATGGCTTTGTCTTTTCGAGTCTCAAGACTTTCTACGTCCACCGTTGGTTCGAAATGCAGGTTCTTTGGCCAATTCTCTTCATCCTGTATTAGGAACTTCGGACCATTAAACCATATCGATTGCCGCGGTTCGTCCACATTGCAACTTCTGGAGACTATGCCAGCCGGGTTATGAGCGGTTGGAACATGTTTCCAAATTGCATCTCCTGTCCATTCATGGATATCCGCAATCCTATTTCCCACGAAAATCGACAAGGTTGATTGATGTTTTTTCAGCCAGTACAGTACAATTTCCGAGTCCGTCCAGAACACGGTTTTGTCTATATTTGTTGCTTACATCGGGGATATATTTCTCCATAGTTTCGCCAACAAGTGAGCGGCACACACCTTAAGCCTCGGAAGGGGTTTGGACTTTTGACTTGGCTGTAAAGAGCAACGATTTATTTTTACAACTACTTCGAATATAAATGCAACAACCATAAGCTCGCATGGATACATCTGAGAATGTATGCACTTGTATTTTTGGAGACGACGACATATTTATAAAGCGAGGTATGCGAATTTCTGGTATTGGGAAGTTTTCCTTGAAATTTTCCCAACTTGTTGCCAACGACATTGGAATTGACTCGTCCCACTCTAATTTATGAAATCACAGTTCTTGGAGGATCATTTTTGCTCTCGTTATTATTGGGCATAACAGTCCTAAAGGGTCAAATAGCCTTGATGAGACTGATAATATATTACGCTTCGTTGCGTGCAAATTTTCGAAGTCAAAACTTGAGCAGAAACGGAGTTCATCACTTTTTGGATGCCAAATTATTCCCAGAGTCTTGGTAGTTTCGGTATAATTTAATGATATGGTTTTTTCTGCACCGCTATTATTTTTGAGCAAATCGTGATTTGAATACCATTTTGCCAACTTGAAACCAGCTGAGTCAAATGAAACTGTCTGTCTTTCTCATGCACCTCCACTTGCATATACATTTTTGTAATGTCAGCTGTAATAGCGAATTTACTCTGGTTGGATAGTGGGGCCGACCATCAACGTCTCATTAAGAAAAATGTGCGTGGACGTCTTGGAAGAAGCGTCAAATACAACTCTTAATTTTGTTGTCAAGCTATCTAATTTTACGACGACTTGGTGGGGTATAAAGTAGTGTGGATCAAATGGAACTAAGTTACCATTTTGAGACATGTGGCCTAGTGACAGATATTCTACCACAAAGTCATTATACATTTTTCGGACGTCAGGTGTATTCGAAAGTCTACGTTCAAGTGCTAAATATCGACGTTTAGCTATTTCATAGGATGCACCAAGTTCTGATGGGTTCCTCTTAAATGGGAGGCGAACCTCGAAACGACCACTTGGGAGAAGTTTGGTATTTGCTAGAAAATGATTTTCGCAGTCGCTAAATTCTTTACAAACTTTCTTTGGTATACCTGGGCTTTCCTCGATTTCCCAAAATTTCCTTACGGTTTCATCCAAAGAAACTAGTGACGCTTCGTTACTTTTATTTACTAAATTACATGCTCCAATTTCAATGCCAGTATTCTGCTTGTAGCGACCTGACACTATCCAACCAAGTAATGTCTTCTGCAGAGTAGGTAAAGATTCGTTTAATCTTATTTGACCCACAGTTAATAATTCAAAAATTATGTCATCCCCAAAAAGCAGATCGACTCTTTGTCGCTTATTAAAATGCGGATCTGCAAGCTCAATATTCTCTGGTACTTGCCAAGTACTAAATTGAAAATTGACTTCAGGTTGGTATGTCGAAATCGATTTAATGACCCAGAAATCTGTTTGAAACTGATAGCTATTGATTCTCGATTTAACCGTGGTATTTACTTTGTGCCTCAAACTGGTGTTAATCTCTCCAATGCCAGATAAGTTTAGGTTTTTAAATTCTCGTTTTAGTTTCAAATTGCTTGCGCATTCTTTACTCATAAAATTTAATTGAGAACCTGAGTCTAGAAGAGCCCTTACTAAATGCTCTTTTCCGCTGCGGTCTTTAATTTGGACTAAGGCCGTGGCCAAAACTACAACATCGTTAACACTCGATACGTGATGCGAGGAGCGATGGGTCCCGTAGTGTGCGGGAGCCGAATTAGCAGCGGCTGAGGAGCTCGAGGGCTGCATTGGCAAATTGCTATTGCTCGCAGCCGCATTACCTTGTTATATCTCATATTTATGTAACAGAGTGTGATGAGGGCGTTGGCAAACTCTGCAATGCGATTTGGAACAGTTTCTTACCGATTGACCCTTCTTCAAACAGTTAATGCAACTTTCTTCTTTCTTTATGAACTCAAAACGCTTACTTATTGGCAAGGCAGCAAAAGGACTGAATGTATAAATTGAGTGACCGTTATTATGGCAATATCCGCATTGATCTTCACTATTAGTTTACGCAACTGTAATTGAGGCCTTATTGGAGCTTTTATTAAAATAAGATCGACTATTTTTTCTTTGATCGCCTGTACTAGCTCTACTTGAGTGGTCTTCGTTCACTTCTAGTGACTGGCAACGACGAATTAAATGCTTGGAGCACTCGTTCCATGTTGGAAGTGTGGAGTAGTCTAGCTGCTCATTCCATCTTGATTTGGTAGCTGGGTCGACTTTAGAAATTACGAAATGAATTATCAAGGCATTGGCTATATCCTTCTCTGATTCTATCGACAACAACGAGTCATAAATTGCAGAGACTGTATCCATTGCTAAGAGCTGGAGCGTTTGGCTTATTCATCTTTTCAATATCAAAAAACTGCTCTATATTATCAAAACCGTTCTGCTAACCGTTCTAACACCCTTTCATAGTTATCTTCTGTAACTTGAAACGCCTTAACCGTCCTAAGTGCATCACCTGACAAACAACTAAGCAAATGTTGAATTTCTCAATCGGCGCCATCTGTGGTTCATTGTGCACCAAGTTATTGAAGGAGCTAATAAAACTCTTGTAGTCGGCATATTTTCCGCTAAACGTTGGCAATTTTAGATTCGGTAAACGGGATGCTTGTGGCATGGTAATGCCGAAGGTCGTTTCTAGCGCTGAGCTCTCACGTCGCTTATATTGACCTAAAAGCTGCAAAAGCTTTGACTTCGCACTAATACACAACTTCTCAATATCACCTCTCCTATCATCACAAGGGTCCTCTTTCTCAATTTCCGTCTGATATGCCATCATTTGCTTTATATGCGAGCTCAAAATTTCTAACCGGCACTCTAAATCAATTACGTTCCATGATGTAGCAGCATTTTCTAACAAGTTTTTAATTCTTGTTATATTTCCGCGAGCTGTTGATCGTTACTGTTTTAGCGTAAGGAGCTTTGCCACAGCTGCAGACTCATCGCTTGAGAAAATAGTTTCTGTACTTTTAAATATTAGTTACCGCGGTATATGCTAGTATTTCGCGACCACAACTTTAGACAAATTCAACCAACTTTTTTGTGCAAGCCTAATAATGAGGCAATGTATTCAATTTTAATTTAAAGCGGTATAGGGAAACTTAAAATATATCCGACCGATAGATACATACACTTGCATTCACTTTCGCAAAGTCGTATTTAAGTAGACGCTTTTATGTATACATGTATAAGAAATAGTATTCAAGTTATTTTTCGCGAACACTTGTTACACGGCAATACAGCAACGATCAATATTTCCACAATAAATTTGATAAAGGTATTTTTAAATATCACACTCTTTTTTTCAGTGTAGGTGTGCAGTTTTAAAATCACTGCAATGGTAGCTTAGAACTTATATACGTATAGGTATATGTACAAACGTAAGTTGGCGAGGGTAAATAGCTGCACAAAAAAAATCAAATAAATATGTGTGGATATGAGCATGTACAAATTTTCTATTGCTTTTGCACCGAAGATAGAACGCAGCGAAAAATTACAAAGCCAAGCGCAATAAATATTACACGACTATAAGCATTTACCAGCAATGGTAAATATCAACGGGAAGCGCAGTAGTAATAACTATGTATGTACTTCTATATGTATAAACGTAGCGTATGTATGAAAGTGCAGTACAGTAGCACTAAATATGTAGCTGGCTATGTACGTATGTATATTAGCAGCGCAGCAAAGAAATTATCCGCGACCAAAATTCTGCCAGCTAATATGCAAATACCGTGTACATAAGCATAGGTACATAAATTGTATTGTAACTACTGCAGTCGAAGAATAGGAAAATACGACAAATTGTAGTTGCGTTCCCCAACTTTTCTGGGTTAAAACCTGTAAAACTGTCAAAAGGCAAAAGCAGCCAGAGAACCGAGTACGGGAACGCTTTCTGGTAAATTCCTGTAAATTCTTGCGAGTTAGGGAACGCAACTTGTGTTTGCTGCTAAAATCCAAACGACCGAAATTTAAATTCGTATGGTTGTACATACATATGTTTATATATTTACTTGTGTACCGTACAATTATGTATATTAATTTGATGCGCTGAAAAACTGTGCGCTGGTGATTTGTCGACGGCAATTCAAATAATTATTTAGTGCCAATTATTCAAAACGGAATCTATTTATTTATTGGAAAACGGTGATTTATATATACATACATATATATACATATTTATATGCAATGTACATATATATGTATTTTCACAACGGCTTTTTTCAAATTGTACATATATATATGTATGTATATTTTCACCAAGCGGCTTTTTAACAAAGGTTTCTAGCCGATTACCGGAATATTTACGGTTCTCTGAATGCCACTTAAAAACACCTTTTATAAATTTTATTTTTATTATTTTTTTGCGCTTTCAAACTTTTGTTTTTCCTTTACTTTCATTGTAATTTTATATTTCACAGCACAACAACTCAAATTAGTATGTACGTTACCTCTACCATCTTTGTTACCGAAACTCCTCGTTTACCCATCCTTTAGTGTATCTATGTTTGCTATAACTCCGCTGTCCGTCCGTTCTCCCAATGCGAATACCGGATCTTCCTGCTGCCAGATGAGCCTTCTAATCCAACGTTAAAATGTATGTCCCACGTAGGCAGCGCAACGGCTTAGCGCGCAGACATCAAAAATTTATCCAATTCAAATAAATAACCACAGCCAGCCGCAACGAAAAATGCCAAAAAAAAACGAATTGACTTTATAAGCCCCACGTTAGGCGCCAAATGAATGGGCAGCAAGGGTTTTTGCTGCTGATGCGAAATACCGACGACGACTTTAAACAAAAAAGCTAAAAGGCTACGAGGAGCGCAAAGAAGAAGCGAGGCTGGCTGTGGTTTCCAATCGAAAGAATATATTTGTTGAGGACTTCAATTCCTTCTTTTCGTACTTCCTTAATTCTATGACAATGTTGCTTATTAACTAGACTTAACTAAGGGGATATTTGTACTAAAGTACTTAAACTTAATATTGATTACGGCTTAGCTATTTTGGCCGAACAATATCTTTTAGAATTCTAAGAATTTTATATTTTTTACACACGACTACATGAACATAAGAATTTTTCGACAATTTGTGATGTTTCACATTTTTACATTTTAGGCATATATGTAATACTCCTATATTGGCAGTAAGAGCTAGTACCGTCCGAAAACACTACAGTACAGATATATCAATAAACACGTACGAAAGAAAAGGAAAACACATACGTTTATAAATAAACATGTACACAACACATATACAAAACGGCACTCAAGTACACAATACATTGACAAAAACAGTACTAGACTGTCTCGCTTTGATTTCGAAATGCTTACACATTGAGATGTTAGCTTACTACCAATATAGAAGTATTACATATATGATTTTAGGATAGATTTTAAAATAAATAAAATTCTCAAAATTTTGGAAAATGTAAAAATTTCTAAAATCTTAATAATTTTGTACATTTCAAAATATTCTCTTTTTACCAAAATTTCTAGAATCTCCCGGATTTCGATAGTTTTTGAAATTTTCGAAATTATCCTAAAAATAAGAAATCTCAAGAAATTTAATAATATTATAAAATTAAAAATTTTGGAATTTTCGTTGTTTTCTGAACCTGTGAAAATATTCAAACTTGCTGCGACTTTCAACTGTGTCAAATAATACAAATTCGAAAATATAACAAAAATACTAAAAATTGAAAATTAAATACATAATTTCAAAATTGTGAAAATTCAGTTAATTCGAAAAACTGATGGGCCTACTTAAATAACACAATACTTCGAGCTTAGCACAGAGCAAGGTACATTGAACAGGTAGTATCAGTAGAGCAGCTGATTTGATTTATTTTCAAATTATTTGGTCTCGAAAATGTCAAATATTTTTAATTTTTTCTCACGAAAATTATAACTTGTTAAAATCCATTTGCTTGTGAAACCTTTTTCCATACAAAACAAGCGGTTGGATAGCAGCTTTTGGAACGTTCGCCCAACTCGGCAGCACGACCGCTGATTACTGGGCCTTGCAAAGGATGGATCAATGCTTCGAGAAGCAAACAAATTTACTAGGAAAGAAAGTTGCATCAATTTTTATTTTTTCCAATTTCAATTTTTTATTTTTTATAATTTTTTGTATTTCACATGGCACGCTTTGATTTAGAAGAAAAAATTCAGAACAGTTGTTGACACTTTCGATACCAGAAGCAACAACAAAATACAGGCAAATGTTGTTTTTGCTCTACTGATACTACCTGTTTAATGTGCCTTGGCACAGAGCTATAATTTCAAATTCAAGTGAAATTTGACACACTTTTTCCATGAATTAAAATTTTCAAAAGCATCCATTTAATAGGTTTGTTTCCCAAGCTTCTCGAAGTCACTTCGAGTTACATATACGCGCTCCGCAAGTAATTTTTCGAGTTTCTTTGATATACGCTCACAGTTTGAACTTTGCTCAAGTTTTTCTACAAGTGGAACAAACCTGTTATATATTTTTGTAATGACATTTCACGATATTCAGTTGAATATTATGAAAATACATGTTACACAGTCTTGGGGGGCAGGGGGTGATTAGGGGGTTAATTTCCCCAATTTCCCCTACCTGGGTCCGCCACTGACCTATGTATGTAGCCGCTTGCGCTGATGTCCGGT